TCCAAAGGGTCCCCCACAGCCCCACCACCCATGGCCTACCCAAAAACATTCCCGTGGTCCCATTACCCTTAAAAGCTCACTGTGCTCCTGTCCTCCACCAAACGGTCCCCATGGTCCCGTCACCCACCTAAATCCTAGAGTCCCCCTGGAGCCAACCAGGACCAGAGCCACCCCAGACTGCTTCTGGTGTCACCCCTCCGGCCTCACATGTCCCCATTGGTCCCGTGTGTCCCTTGTTTCCCTTTGTTACCTTCGCTCTGTGATGGAGCTGAGCTGGACGGAGACAGGGACCGGTGTTCCCTCCCTGATGGCATTGAGGATGGTGGGTAGAGGTTCCAGCTCTTCCTGTGTGGCCTGATGGGACAAAATGGGACATCGTGGGGCCATGGGGTGGCAGTGGGGCAGTGACACCCGTGGGGCAGTGACACCCATGGGGCTGCAAGCACCCAGCCCTGAACATAGAGAGAACAAGGAGGCCCATGTCTCTAGCCACCCTTGGGGACATGGAGGTGGCACCTGGTTCAGGCTGGAGAAGATCTCGCAGAGCAGGAGGTGGAGGGTGGCAAGCTCCAGGGCCAGGTCCACATAGCCATCATAGGTGGCCACATGGCCGCTGCTCTCAGGGCTGGCCACGCTCCTCAGGAAGGCTGTCATGGTACTCCAGTGGTGCTCCAGGAACTCGTTCATGAAGCCCATGTAGGCCTCCTTCTCACCAAACCTGAGGACCATGGTGGCCAGTCACCCACGGGCCACCACCAGAACCACGTGCTTCTTGGCTCACGTGGTCCCTTGGGGACATCCCTGCTGCCCCACAGCATCCTTTGGTGCCCCAAAGTTTGTAAGGTCCATCCCCGCTGCCCCGTGGCATGTAGGGCGAGGTTCCAGCACCCCTATGGAGTTCCAAGGACCTTCCTGTCGTCCTACGGTGTGTTAGGGACATCCCTGCTGCCTCATGGCATGTTAAGGATGCCCCTGCTGCCCCACGGGCTGTAGGGTCCATCCCTGTTGCCCTTTAGCACATAAGGGAGGTTCTAGTAGCCCCATAGACTATCAGGGACATTCACATTGCCCCAAGGTGTTTGAAGGCGTCCCTACTGCCCCACGGGACACCTCTGCTGCCCCATATCTTCCCCGTGGGGTGATGTGCCGTGACGTACGTGGTGAAGTTGGCCAGGTTCTGGATGACCTTGGCCACCAGGGTGAGGGTACGAGCGGTGGCCTCGCTCGGGTACTCCTGGACGAGGCCAAAGAGACTCGGGGACATGATGGCGGGGCAGAGGAACCGCAGGAAGAGCGAGGCTGAGACCAAGCGCTGCCCTATGGCCGCCTTGCCCCGAGCCGCGCACTCCTCCTGCCACGCTGCAAAGATCTCGCCCAGCTCCGCCGGGAAGGTGCTGTGGGGACAGACGGGGTGGGTGGCTGACTCTGGTGTCCCCTGCGTGCCACCATGGTGTGCTGTGGGACATGGTGCCCACCCTTGTTGTGCTTGTCCCCATGCCGATCCCCCATGTCTGTCCCCCAAATCCTCCCCCCTTGTATTTCCTGCTGCCCATCACCGTGGTGCCTGTCTCCGTTCCTGTCCCCACGTTTGTTCCCAGACTTGTCCACTGTCCCTCCTGCTGCTGGTCACTGTGGCCATCCCAGGGATGGTGCCTAATTCCATCCCTGTCCCCTGCGTCCGTCCCCAGAGTTGCCCCCACGTCACTCTTAGTGCCCATCGCCATGGTTGTGGTGCCTGTCTCCATCCCTGTCGCAAAATACGTCCCCATGTCCTTCCTGCTGCCCATAACCACGTCCTTCCCAGGTGCCTATCTCCATCCCTGCCCCGCATCTGTCCCCAGACTTGTCCCTACATCCTTTCTGATGCCCACCCCCAAGTCCCCCATACCTGCCCCATTGCCTGTGCCGGCTCCCAGCCCCTTTCCTGCCCCCAGGCCCACCTCCGTGCAGATGCCCACCCCCGTGCCCCCATGGGGCTGTTCCTCACTCGCAGGATGCAGCAATGCGCTGCAGGGTCTCCTCGCAGACCTGCCGCAGGTTGTTCTGGTTGTCTGAAAGGTCAGGGCCACCACATTTGCTGGGATCGACTTCACAGCTGTCATCCGAGGAGCAGAGCTGGGCCACAGCTTCACCTGGGCACCAGGAGAAAGGCAATGAGGGGACCGAGCCGTCGCTGCCATGGGACAACGCTGCAGAGATCCTGGGGCTGTCCCATAGCCTGGAATGCCTCATGAAGCAATTCCTGCCCATGCCCAGCCCCCCATAACATCCCATAATACCCCATAACACCTGCTCGTACCCAGCGTGTCCTGGAGGTATTTGCCCCCCACCAGCTTCATGTATTCATCAATGGCTTTGGTGGCCAACGTGTTCTCTCGGAAGATGAGCGACTCCCGATCGTCAAAGCGATCCAACTCGGCCACCCCGAGGTCGATGAGGAACTCCTGTGGGACGGATGTTGGGGAGCACCCATGGGCCCGGTGTGGCTTGGGCAGCCTGGCCTGGGCAGTGCTGGGATCTCCCGAAGTGCACTTGAATTGTATTTCCCACCCCATCCCACCCATCCCATCCCCTCCCATCCCATCCCATCCCCTCCCATCCCATCCCATCGCATCCCATCCCATCCCATCCCATCCCATCCCCATCCCCTCCCATCGCCTTCCACCCCATCCCACCCCATCCCATCCCCTCCCATCCCCTCCCCTCCCATCCCCTCCGATCCCATCCCATCCCCTCCCATCCATCCCACCCCATTCCACCCCAACCCCCCC